GGAGGGAGCGAAGTGGCGGAGAAGGGAGGGAGCGAGACAGCGGACATGGGAGGGAGGCAAAGCAGAGGACACGGGAGGGAGCCGAGGTGGCGGGGAAGGGAGGGAGCCGAGGCTGTGGAGACGGGAGGGAGCAAAGCCCGCCTCCGGCTTCGCTCCCTTCTCTGCTTCGCTCTGGCCTCAGGAAGCCCTGTTCTTGCAGGAATAGGCTCAAGGAAGCCCTATTCTTGCAGGAATCTTCCTGCAATGAACCTCTAATATATATATATTCATACTTTTTTTTAAAACTTCAATCCCCTCCCCCTAGCTCCCCCACAAAAAAATGGAAGGTAGGAAGGTTTAGGCTGTTCCTGTATTAGTGAAATTAAAACACATATTATAGGAAAAAAGTTCCTCCCCCAATAATGTACTACTTTTAGTTTATGAGGCTGTTCTTTACTAGTATACATTTTCACATACTATAAAATAATTGTCTAATTACTTGTGGAAGTTACAGATTTTAGATAAAAATATAAAGAATGAAATAATTAACGATGAGACAAATTTTTTAAAACAACGCACAAAGGAAATTATAAGAAAAGGATGGAGAAAAGCAGAGAAATAGCAGACTTAATAGAGTTTGGGGTTTAAAAAAGAAATGAGGAAACAAAGATACAAAAAATTAAAGAAAATGTTCTATCCATATAATAGGACTGCAAAGAGGTCTTGCAGGATTTTGAAAATATTAGCAAATGTTCAGCAAACATGAACAGATTCGATCAGCTATTGCTAGTGAAGCGATGAGGATTTTAAGGTGGAGGTCAGCTCTCCAAGTCTCTGCATGTCTGGAATTAGCTGGTTTTGTCCTAACCCTTAGTCAGTACTTTCATTGGGCAAACGATTCTTAAATATTTAAAGACATCCCTTTACTTTTTCCAGCATTTGATGAGGGTGAGGCTGTTCCCTTATAGATGAAAGCTTTTTGCTTGTTTTAGATGCTTTCCGGGCCTTTTATCTCCGGTGTTCTACCATTTCAATGGTCTGCACTTACTCATCCATATCTGTTTCATTTTTTTTTTTGTACCTGAATTATAGTGGTTTTTATTTATTTTTATTAATTTTTATTGATTAAGTTATTACATATGTGTCCTTATCCCCATATTACCCCCATCCCCCCCAATCATGCCCTCACCCCCCTGTTGTCTGTGTCCATTGGTTAGGCCTATATGCTTGCATATAAGTCCTTTGGTTGATCTCTCCCCCTTACCCCCACCCTCCCCTATCTTCCCTCCAAGGCCCGACAGTCCAATCAATGCCTCTCCGTCTCTGGATCAGTCCTTGTTTTCATCAGTTTATGTTGTTCATTATATCCATAAATGAGTGAGATCATGTGATATTTATCTTTCTCTGACTGGCTTATTTCACTTAGCATAATGCTTTCCAGTTCCATCTACATGCCTTCTGCTCAGCACTCGGGATACCTCAGTTTTGAACAGTATTATCTTTAGCTCTTAGACATTTCCATTGTTCTTTGATAATTTCTTCCATTCCTTTTCTCTTCTTCTGGAATTCCTGTTAGCAAAACGTAGGACCGAGACATCTATATCTTCTTTCTAATATTTCCCTTTTTTGGTGTTTTTACTTTCTAAACTCTTGGAGTTTTCCTGTATATGTATGTGTGTGTGTGTGTGTGTGTGTGTGTGTGTGTGTGTGTGTGTGTAAAAGAAGAGGGCTGGAAGGAAGAGTGGAAAGGGGTGGGAGGGGAGAAAGAGAGAGAGAGAGAGAGAGAGAGAGAGAGAGAGTTGAGAGAGGAGGGGGGGGGGGGAGAGAGAGAGAGAGAGAGAACACATCATTTGGTTGCCTTCTGTACATGCCCCCCAAAAGGGATCAAACCCTTGACCTTTTGGTGTACAGGACGATGCTCCAACCCACTGAGGCACCCTGCCAGGGCAAAGTTTTCCTCTATTTCATCTTTCGAACCTTCTAGAGAATTTTTTATTTTGGCAGTAATATTTTTAATTACTAAAAGTTCCTTCTTTCTTGTTCCTTTTTCATATTATTGATTTTACTCATATTGGCAATATTATTTCAAATCTGAGGCTACTAAGTGGAGTTTCTAAAAAGTTATCCTTAGGATGAATTTTTGTATTGTTTTGTTCACTTTTTTAGCTACAGATTTTCTCCTCAAATGTTCAATGACCTTTGCTGTCCCTCCCTATATAAGAATGAAGGAACAGAAGGGTTGCCTGGGAACTGGGACACAGGGGCTTATCACCAGAAGGTCTGATCGGACACAGTGATTGAATGGGAGGGAAGAGGTAGATGGAAGGGCCCAGAGTGATCCCAGCCTCCTCGTTTATGATGTGTAACACTGTAGTGATGACATTCTCAGTTACTGTAATAGGGAACACAGAAAGGAACGGGGCTCATTAGAAGGCACAGAGAGAAAAGGAAATAAGCCCACTTTTTGACATGTGTGGGGACTGGGGGGACTGGGGTATGGAGTGCGGGGAGGGGGAAGTGTCAGGAAACAGGTCTGGAAGAGCCAGCTGGGTTTACCCATCCGGGAACACTGGCATAGAGAGGTCGCTAACGTCACAGAACTGGATGTCACCACACGTGGAGGGGGCAGGAAGTGAGGAAAGGGGAAAGGGGAGAGCCACAGACAGAAAGCAGAGGGACAGCATGAAGGCTGGAATGAGGAAGAGATACTGAGAAGAAAACAGAAAGGGAACAGTAAAAAAGGTAGGAAATCAGGAGAGTAGTGGCTTTAGTGTATGTGTACTCTGGTTTTCCATTCATTCTACTAGGTGCTCAGTGGGTGCTTTCAATCAGAAAAGCTCATGTCCTTCAGCTCTGGGAAATTTTCTTATAGTTTTTTTCTTCCTCTATTTCCTCTGTTTGTAATTCCTATTAGGCAAAAAGCTTCTGAACCGATCATATGATTTTCTTCACCTTTTCTCACATTTTACCATTTCTATTTG